AGAACTTGTTCTGTTACCTAGCAGCTACATAGCCTCCAACACCAGTGAGTTCACGGTGTTGTTGAGTGGGTAAGCGAATCCAGGATGACTTACACTCATCAGTGTTTACTGAGTGTTGTATGCATGCTGGGAGCTATGCTAGTATCTATGGATGAAACTGTGAGCAGAAATGAATTTTTAAAAATTCCAACCCTTGTTGGACTTTTATTCTTATGAATGGGAAAGCTCTAAGAAAGAAAGTAGACAGGTCTAAAGGCACCAAAGGTATCTGTCTGTCCATCACCCATGAATAGAGCCTGTATCTTAAAAGGGCACTTGTTAAAGTTGCTAACCTGGAGCTAGAGCGATGACCCAGCCATTAAGAAGGCTTGCTACTCTCTCAGAAGACCTGGGCTCAGCTTCCCGCACTCACATTGTGTGGTTCACAACCGCCTGTAACTCCAACTCCAGCAGATCCAGTACCACCTTCTGGATTCTGTGTGTATTTAAGCAAACATGTGCACGCATGTTCACATAAAAGAATAATAAAAGTAAATCCTGAAGTCATTAATCTGAGCACAGGAGAGAGTGAGTCAGAGGAAAGACCTGGGCATGGGACCAGTTAGCCCTAGAGAGAAATGTAGTTTGGAACCAGGGAAAGATTACTGGGGGGAGGCTTCTTTGGGGGGATTCACTGGCTCTGTTAAATAGGAGGTGAAGTGTTAAGTGGAAAAGGAGGCAAGAAAAAGACAAAGAAAGAACACTCTGCCAGCTCCAAAGCCCCGCTGAGGCGGGAGCAGCCTCTACTGGTAATTGCTATGGACGTGTAGGGTTCTCTGCTGGTGTGTCAAGATGAAAAACAATTGAAGTTATCTGAGTCCAAAGAAGATCTGCTTGGAAAGGTAGCGTAGGATAACTAGTGGTATGGGTGTGGACATGTTCATGGGTGCTTAGGCCAAGAATAAATTAAAAACCACTAGTATACGATAGCCTGAAAGAATAGGAAAGAAGGAGGCAGAACTTCATCCATGGGAAGGACAAGCTCAGGTGCTTCCTCTGTGATTGTTCTGTGAACCAGGCAGGCTGTTTCTGACAGGCCTTTACATAGCATAAATAAGTGGTTACTTAGGAAGTGATCCCAGCAGCCTTGGCTGTTGAGTTTGGGTTCTTAAGCACTGATATTCCGTGATGTGGGAAGGCGGTTGGAGAGGACTATTGCAGGCCAAGTAGCTTTCAGTGGCTTCTTAAAATTTCTGGACCTGCTATTCTATAAAAGAAATATTTAGAAGAATGTGGAAGGGGACCAGGGACTGTTCCCCTCTATGCTTTAAAATATGTTTCTATACTCTTTAAGATAGGGTATCAACTATGTAACGTTGGCTGTCCTAGAGCTTGCTATGTAGACAAGGCCGGCCTTGAACTCAGAGATATGCCTGCCTTTGCCTCAGGAGTACTAGGATTAAAGGCATCACCACTCCAGGCGCCGTCTGCTCTTGAGACAGCAGTACATAGGTGGCCTTACTTAACCATGGAGAATAAATGAATAGTTATATTGAGCGTGTGCAGAGCTTTTTGTTCTTAATCATTATTTCCTAAACAATACAGTAAGACAGCTATTCAGTTTGCGTAGTAGTTACATCATGCCAGGTATTGTAAGTGATCTGGAGATGACTTGAAGCACATGCAGGAGGATGTACTGAACATAGGCTATGTGCAAATACTGCTTCATAGGTCACACACAAATGCTACGCTCAGTCTTAGTTTGAGTGTCCTTGGATTTTGGTGCAGGAACCAGTTCCCACAGATACTAACAGCCAAGGGCTGACTGTATCCTAAGTTGGGCTCTTCGTTTTTCCCAACAGAAGCCTATGTACTGTTCAGGGAGAGTGCTCCTTTGTGGTTATTGGCTTGACCAGGCCCTTCTGGAGAACTCATGGACCTGGCTGTTGTATAAGGAAGTTAGTCTGCAGCCCTGTGCTTTCATTTGTACCTGAGGCCTGTGCTTTGCCACTAGACTCTCTGTGAGCCCTGGGAGACACCTTTAAATCTTACCTAGAAGCTGGTCAGGCCTTAGCAACCTGAAATGGAGAAAGAATGGTTTGTGGAGGCCACAGTGGTTATTTTTGGTACCTCTGAATTTTGTGTGCATTCTTTTAATATTTTTAATACTTGGGTGTTTTTCTTTTTTTTCTTGTGGCAGTTTTGAAGGAATGCCACTCTTCTATTTTTCTAACAAAAAAAAAAAATTTACATGTGTGTCATGCCCTTTTCTGGAGACACAGTCTTCTGTTGCTATGTAGCATTGGCTGGCCCAGAACTCCCCTGGTAAACTAGACTAGCCTTGAACTTGCATAATATTGTCTCTGCCTCCTAGAGATTGCAGATATGAACTACTATTTGTGATCACATGGCTTTAAAAGAAACAACAAAGAAAAACTTTCCAAGAAACTTTAGACAAATATTGAAAATAGAAAGCAAGCATATCATCTAGCATTATTTGCTTGCAGTTTTTAGATATATTCCAGATCCAAGTGTTTTCTGTTGAGATTATGTGCTTGAACTATCTTAGCTGTCCTTTGATTTTTAAATTGCTTGCCTCTGGTGGTTTTTAAAAATATGATATCTACCAGATGAAAAATCCTAATATTTTTCAGGAGAAGTTGAAGTATTAATACGTAAAAGCCATCACCGAGATTGAATCTCATGGTCTGGAGGCAAAATCCTGTTTTGTGAAATGGTATGTCTTAGATAAAATAAGGATGCAACTAGTAGGAACCAATAAGCCTTGAGGGTAGTGATAGCTTTATGGGTACCATCTTCACTGCATTCACGTGAATATTGGGAGGAGGAAGCTTGTGCTGCTGACATGCACAAAGACGCCTCAAATGGTCTTGTGTGGGCATTGAAAGCATTTCTTTTTTTTTTTTTGTTTTTAGTTGCATGTCAGATTAGTGACAGAGAGAAAGAGGAGAGAGAATTCACTGGTGGGTTTAAAAAAAAAAACACATACAAACTTTATTTCAGAGGATTAATTATAAAACCAAGCTAAGTAATGAACATTTTTAAAGGATCTTAACAGTATCAGGCTTAAGTTGCCACTCTTAAAATGTAATCAAATAGGGTTTATCAAAGCTATAATGAAGAAAATAGAAATCATTTGTAATTAGACAATAATTAAAGGCCAGTACATGCCCGGTGATTTTTAAAGTGCTTGAAAAACAATTAGTTTCCTTAAGTAGGTTAAATATCTGGGTTACAAGCTTGTTTATACTGTTAATTTACTTAGCAAACCTGTTCTTCATAGATGATGCAGACGTGAACTTCAGTTTGCCTCTAAACAATCACAAGTTTAAGTTTAATGGATATCATTTATTTTTCTTTTGCTTTATTAGTGAGTTTTTCTTTTAACTTTAAAAGTGCTCTTCTCTTTCTTTTTTCCCCTTCTGAGTAGTTCAGTCCTAAATGCTAGTAAAGAAGAAGAGTGCAGGAGGCCTAGACAGAGTTCATAGACTGGGGAAGTCTTCACATAGGAAAGTGTGGTGTGGCCTGTCAGAACCCAAGAGCGGTGGAGGCATCTCTGGGACCTGTGCTAGTAACAGCAGTGAAAGACTAGTTAAACATAAATTAGCATGTTCAATTTACTGGGAGTCAGCAGCTCTCACTGTACAGAAGAATCTTACAGAAACCATTGAAGAGACAACTCGAATGGCCCCTACAGTGTTCTTAAAGAGTAAACGGAAATGTTTGTGTGGAGGAATGGGACTATAAGTGAGAGGTAGAACGTTTGCTGTTCATGTACAAGGCCCTGAGTTTGGTCCTTAGTTATGAGGAAAAAAGAACTGATGTGGGTCCATGTTTTTTGTTGTTGTTTTTATGTGCATTGGTGTTTTGCCTGCATGTGTATCTGTGGGTGTCAGATCTTGGAGTTACAGACAGTTGTGAGCTGCTACGTGAGTACTGGGAATCGAACCCAGGTCCTCTAGAAGAACAGTCATTGTTCTTAACCGCTGAACCATCTCTTTAATAAGCACCAATAGTATCAGTCCCCAGTAGCAGTGAGAATCTTGACTTCTGTACCAGTCACACCAAAAAGAATCTTGGCTTGGAGAAATGATTGATTGTGGGGTTAGGATTTTGTTTAAGCTAAATCTAGGACATCCTAAATTAGCAAGAAGGAAGTCTTTGTGAAGAATAATAGGAACATGGCAGAAGAATGTGGGATCCAGTTTGATGGTGCTTCCAATGGCCAACTTTGATATAACTTGATTTTCAAATTCTAAGAAGTGACAGTTAGGAATTAAAACCTATTGAATAAACAACAAAAACTAAGGTTCTTATACAATGTCATCTACACATTTTATAAGAAATCTTGTGTATGAACTCAGGAATAAACTCAGTTAGAGGGATAGGCTATTCAAGTTTCAGAGTACCTTTCCACCAAGTACCCATTGATCACCAACAGTGAAGAGTCGCTTTACTGTCTACATACCTGATCACATATCAGTGTGGACAGGTTAGAACCAAGTTACCTGCTAGGATGCAAAGACAAGCAACATTACTTCTGTGCTATTTCTGCCAAGGTGTATGACCTGAATCAAATAATGAAGAAACCCTAGCTTGAGGGTTATCGGGCAGAGTAACTGAGTATAATCTTCAAAACTGTTTCTAGGCTGCAAAAGTCAAAGCAAGTCAAAGAGACAATGAAATGTGGCACAGGAGTCTGACCCAGGGCTTTTCTTTGAAGGCCACTGCTGGAAAAGTAGCAAAAAAAAAAAAAGAATGGGGTTTGAAGAATAAATGGTAGAAATATGTGTTAGTTTAGAGCCTGACAGTTGTATTACAGTTATGTGGGACAGTGGAAAACATATACTAAAATATTTGGAATGAATAGACATCAAACTGACAACTTATTCATAACGGTCTGCAAACGTTTTTGGTGCTTTTTTTTTGTTTGTTTTTTGTTTTTTGTACTGTTCTTTCAACTTTTATGTCAATTTGTGATAATTACAAAACTTTAAAAGAATTTTTAGGAACCTGGAACCCACACGATGAAGAAGGTGTTTGTGACAGTCGGAACCACCAGTTTTGATGACCTCATCGCCTGTGTGGCCACCCGCGACAGCCTTCAGATTCTCAAGAGACTCGGTTACAACCGACTCGTCCTTCAAATTGGTAGAGGCACAGTGGTCCCCGAACCATTCAGTACTGAGTCATTCACCCTGGATGTTTACAGGTATAAGGATTCTTTGAAAGAAGACCTTCAGCAAGCAGATCTTGTCATCAGCCACGCAGGTGCTGGAAGCTGTTTGGAGAGTCTGGAAAAAGGCAAGCCACTTGTGGTAGTTGTAAATGAAAAATTAATGAACAATCATCAATTTGAATTGGCAAAGCAGCTGCACAAAGAAGGACATCTCTTCTACTGTACCTGCAGCACACTTCTTGAGCTGTTACAGTCAATGGATTTATCAACACTGAAATGTTATTCTCCTGGCCAGCCAGAAAAATTTTCTGCATTTTTGGATAAAGTTGTTGGATTACAAAAATAAACTCTCAACACTTTAAAATACCTATAAATCTAGTTCATGGAATGTGATTAAATAAAAATAAATTTATAATACATATTTGTAGAACAATATAAATTATTATATTTACTACAAAAACATTATTATAAGGAATTTTGTGGCATAAACATTGCAGTGTGGTCTAAATCTTAATTTTAGTAAATTTATGAGGTTTTCCTAACTTTGAATATGTAGCAAGTCCTTAATTTTGAAAACGTAGCCTTCACATTTTTGTCCTAAAATCTCAAATGGATTTTATTATTAAAAAAAAAAGAAAAACAAAAAGCAAAACAGCCGGCTGGACAGTGGTGGCACACACTTGTAATCCCAGTACTTGGGAGGCAGAGGCAGATGTAGCTCTGTGAGTTTGAGGCAAGCCTGGTCTACATAGTTCAGGATAGCCAAGGCCACAGAGAATCCCTACATTCCAAACCCAAAGCAAAAACACAAAACCAAAAATATTCAAAAAAGTTGATAAGAATCATAGTTATATGTTCTTTTGAATAATAATAAAAAGAAATGCTAACAATGTTTTAAAAAAAAAAAAAGAATTTTTATGTAGCACTGGCTGGTCCAGAACTTTGATTTCTGATTGCTGACACTAAAGGTGTGTGCCAGTACATTCAACCCCCAAAGTAACTAGAAGTTAAACCACAAGAAGTACAGGCTAGCCTAAGCTACATGAGACACTATCTTACAATTGTAAATGACCAACCTTTCATTTTTGAGCTTTTAGCAAGAGTGTTGCCTTTTCCTGTCTTTTACATTAGGAAAACAACAACATCGTATTTTAGGGTACTGTAATTGCAGGTAGACTGCTTTTTCTGCACCCAGTTGAGACTTATAAATAAACCATTGCACTGTGACTAAATTGGCCCTCTATCCAGTGAGTGCTAAAGTAGGGACAAGAGGCCTGAATGGAGAGAGTAATTGCAGGTGGAAGAGAATCTTGCTTTTCTAGTCACCCGTCTGAGCATGTATTTTGCTGTATCTCAAAATTCATAGCCTGTAACAGGCTTCCACCTGCCGTTCCCTGACACATTAGTGTTTTGGTGAGGACTTAGACTGTGACAAGGCCAAGTTACATGCCAAATGGGTTCAGCTTTATAAGTTATTGCTGATTTACAATGCATCAAAAAAAAAAAATGTCAACCACTGATCTTGGGCTATAGCACAGTTGGTAGTAGAGTGCCTACTCAGCATGGATGAAGAGCTGGGTTTGAGCGCTAGAACAGTATACATGAAGCATGTTGGTTTATGCCTTGCTGTAGCAGTCAGAGAGGTAGAGGCAGAAGTATCAGAAATTCGGGTCGTCTTTGGTTGTATATCAAATTGGAGGCCAGTCTAGGATAAATGAGACCATGTTTCCAAAACAAAAAAGGGCCAGTGAGATGGTTTGCTGGGTTAAGAGTGTTTGTTACTAAGCGTGTTTTATCTTCGCCGAAGCCCGGAGACTCATGTTGTAGAAGAAGGGATTGAGTTACACAAGTTACCTTTTACCTCCACATGCGCACATTCCTCACACAATAAAGAAATGAAAACTTTTTTTTTTTTTTTTCTAATCCAGCCTGTGTTGTTAATAGATGTGACAGCTCAAAACAAAACACATTCTCAGTCCTGAGCTAGTGATGCTCTCGAGCTGGGTGCCAGGCACTCTGGTGCATCACAGAGACCTCACGTGTCACGTAGCATGCCCCCTTTCTCACCCATCCAGGGTCTAGTTTGCTCCCTTAACGGATTCCCACCAGGCTCCTTTGGCTGTATGACCCATCTTTTTTGCTTTGCCCATGTCTTACCATGTCTTCTTCCAGGTATGTCATGGAAATCCAAACATGTACCATTGTTTGGTAAAATAGACTTGGGAAAAGTTTTTAATTAACAAATGCCACTTATGACATCCCTTAACATTTCTAGCAGTCCTTCGGTTTTTCCTTGGCTTTTCATTTTTGTTTTTCTTAGTTCTGAAGATTAAAGACCTGGCTGAAATATGCTAGGTGATCACTGTTACCATTGAGCCACAGCCCTGGCCTTCAGTTACACAAAGTTCTATATTTAAGAAATTTTGAGACCCACTATCTCCTCTTTGGTTCGTCAGATCACCTCACACTGTGAGGCTACCTGCTGATGTTTTATTTCATTTTGTTTTCCTTTCTTTCCACATGGCAGGAGCAGCTGAGAGGTACCTTTAGAAATCGCTGAAAATTCCAGCCTTGGCTATCTTTGTGTGGGTTCAGTGATCTAGAAACCAGAGAGGCCATTAGGTCACAGGATGGGAGGATAGTAGCCAGCATCAACCTCCGCCCAAAGCTTGCCTTTCATTTGCTCTTTGTGTGTGTCTCATTTTTCACCTTGCTTCCCCAGGCTTGCTTATTTCTAGCTTTCCATCTAGAGTTCCTGTCTCTAACATCATCATCTTTACCCCTCTACTTCTCCCCTCTGTTTGCCTCTCCATAAATAAAAGAGAATCTGAAGAAAAAAGTAAGGAAGTAACAAAGAAAGGAGATAATAAACTTTATTATTTCTGGACTTTAAGGGCCTTGCTATGGATTCCTGGCTGACCTCAAAGTCAAGGTCCTTCTACATCAGCCTCCCAAGTGCTAGGGTAAGACGTGTGGGCACAGCCATACCTTTTGTTTTGTTTGAGACAAGGTCTTTAGAAAATTAATTTTGTGTGTGAACACTCACAGAAGTTGGAGTTAGTTCTTTTCCTCCACCTTTTTGTGGTTTCTGGTTATCAACTCAAGTTTATTAGGCTTTCTTCATTGGGTGGCAAACACTTTTACTTGCTTATCTGTCTCTGGCCTGAGACAAGGTCTTGCTGTGTTACGTAGCCCAGGCCTGGGACCTTGAATTTACTATCCTCCAGACTCAGCCTCTCAGGTTTAACTGGTTTTTTGGCTTTCACTAGCACTTGCCTGTGTCAGTGAATGTGCTCGCCTGTGCGTGTGGAGACGAGAGGTTGACTCCAGCTGCCCTCCTCACTCTCCACCTCATGTTTTTTTGAGACAAGGTCTCTCACTGCAGCTAAAGCTCACTGATTCCAGCTGGACTAGCTTGCCAGCAAGCCTCAGGGATTCAGCTCTCTCTGCTCCACAGCACTTGGATTATAGACATCCAGTCAGTGCTGGGTAACCTTCAACAAGCTGATTAGAATTAAACATGGGTCTTTATGCTTACATGGAAAGTGCTTTACCATTAGAGCCATTTCTTTAGCACCATAACTGTCTTATGCTGCCACATCTTAAAGTCTTAGAATTTTTGAATATTTTTTTCTGACTGTTGCTTTTTTGTTTTTTAATCATGAGAAGTAGTTAAAGGGACAAAAACTTTTATATGTAAGCTTTACTTGCAAATTCAGTCCATCTTATGAAATGTTGCCATCTAGTATTTATTCATGGGTCTCAAGGATAAATAAGGAATGCAGGTTGAAACCACACATGCACACACATAGTGGCCAGTAGCCAAGCCAGTCATTCCACAGCCACATTGCTTTCCCCTCAGAGATTGGCAGAGCCCAGGCAGTGTGTTTTTCTGGCTCAACCTGGTGTTTTACTTCCTGTAGCCTGCTTGTAGTCAGAAGGTGCTAAGTGACTAGATGGAGTAGCTTTTCTGTTGCAGAGCAGTTTGTGGAACTTGGGTTTTAATGTTTGCAACATTGTTTGTAAGCATGTATCCCATGCATGGAGGTGGGGGCTTCAGGACCTCTGGGAGAATAATTGACTGTGCTGACTACAGAGCTGCCTGCAGCTATTAAGAACCTCAGCCACTCTCAGACCACCTGCTATTGTTTCCACTCACTGGTGGCTGCTGCTTTGTCTACTTTGCCAATTGCTTGATTCCTATAGTGATGCCAGTAGTTCACTGAAATAGCACAGGAGAAAAAAAACGTAGTTGGTTCCTAACCTTGTTCTCATTTATCATGGCAATTAACAGGAAAGGTTCTCATCAATTATTATTTTGAAAGTGTGATGCATTTTTATCTTATTAAACAGCAGTATTGTGTCTATTGCATTCTTTTCGCTATTCTTTCAGCGCCACTTAAAAATTTAGTTAGCATATAAAATATGGGTTTCATTAAGACATTTTCATACGTATATCATATACCTTGCTCTTACTATTCTTCTCTGTCCCCTCTATCTCCCAAAAGCCCCCTTTTTTCTTTCATGCTACATACTTGTATATATGTATATATTTATATCTGCGTGTTTGTCTGTGTGTGTGTATATATATATATATTCAAATCTAGAGTCCACATGTGAGACAGAACATGCAGTATTTTGTGTTTGCCCCAGTACCTTCTGTTGCTTTTTCCTTCCCTTTAGACCAGCTCTTCTCCATTCATAACCCCGTTCATGTCACATATATGTATGTATGTGTATATATTGACTCTGTGAAAGAAAATTTTGTTTAATTTTATTTCACATGTTCTCCAGTTCCATTTTTATCATCATTTTGAAATGATTATAACTATGTAATTGAAACTGATTATAAAACTATGTAGTGTTTCTTGGCATACATATTTGTATGTGATATATGCACATGTTCATGTGTGTACATGTGTTCATGTAGAGGCCTGAAATCAGCATTGGATGTCTTCCATAGTTGCTCTCTACCCCGTTTCACTGAACCTGGAGGTGGTTTGTTCATCTAGGCTTGCTTGCCAACAAGATCCAGGAAGCTGCCTGTCCCTGCTTCTCCACACTGGAGACATACAGGTGTGCTGGTGCCCAGCTTTTACTTGAGTGCTGGAGATCCGAACACAGGTCTTTATGCTTGCTTCGAAAGTACCTTACAGCTGAGTCAGTTCCCTAGCACCCTTCATGTGTTTTAACAGTAATGCTGATTCAGGTATCCTCCTTGAATAGAAGCTGATAAAGTGGCTGTTCTGACACTCCAGGGCCACTGAGTACCAGTTTTCTCCATTGCTTGGCATTTTGTTGTAGAATTTTTTAACTGTTGTTAGAATTTTTTTTTAACTGTTTAGTTCTTAATAATAGTTTAGGGTTTATAG